TGAAAGAAGTGTTATCAGTGGATAATGATTGCTGTGATTTTTACCAGAATGTCTAACAAAAGTGGGAAATAAGTCCAACTGTATAAATACATTATCCTAGTAGATGAAGTTGCTGTCATTTTCAAACATCCCATCTCCTTCGCTAAATGTTTGATCAAGATGATCACTTTTATTGAACGTAGGTACCTATCATTCAGATTCTTCTGAGAGTTGCTCAGAATGAAGCAGGATATGCTCTGGGCAACAGAAGAGATAATCTATACTATAATAATTCTCTTGCTCAAGAACAGCTATGGGTGATGATGGAATGCCATTGCCTTCAGTCCTCTGCAGTGGTGAGAGGCCTATTAAAATGCTGCACCCATGGAAGTCGATGGGCTCTGCTGGTTTCCCAAAACCCTTAGTGTTTCCAGTCAAGACTGCAAGGCTTCCCCATCAAGGTCCCAGATCACCTTTGGCAGGTCTTGGCAATCTTTGGCCCTAGGGCAACGCAGTTTATCTCCATGTCAGTGTGAAGAAGAAAACAGGAAAGGGGGGTGGCAAAGAGGGGGGCAGAGGGAGAGGGATGTGGTCCTCAACAGAAAAAAGGTGGTCCACCCATAATCTATGGAGAGAGAATTAAACTGAACAGGTGACTTAAACAATCTCTCCTGCAGGCCAGAGCCAATCCTATTTCTTGCTACAATGGTGAGAAAAGAGTAAAATATTCTTGCATTTTATTTAATAAATTTGTTAGCTGCCTTTCAAAATACAGTATTTTCCCCAAGATGTTGTGTGGATAAAATGAAAGGGGGGGACCAAGTACACTACATTGAGCTCCTTGGAGGAAAGAGGTGATACAAATGTAATAAATAAAATAAAATGCCTGAAGGGCACTACAGAAATGCATAAAATAAATGACTAGATTTGGGTGAATCAACAAACTCAATCCATTCAAGAAGGAGAACTACACTAGTGGCTAAAACTGTGGAAACCTTTTGGAGATATGTTTGGTGGCTCATAACACCACTTCTTTTTTTTTGAGTAATACCATAACATTATATATCAATGGAAAGACAATTTAATAAAGAATGTAATGCAACAAGGTTTGTTCAATTATCTGTATTCTATCAAAAGTTATAGCCAAAAAACCAGAAAAAGGAGTGTTTAGAGCACCAATCAGGTGTCATCTTGTTTTGGCAATGATGGCTCATAACACCACTTCAGTAAAAAGTATTACCATAAAAATATATATCAATGGAAAGATAATTTAATGAAGAATGTATTGATAGAATACAGATAATTGAACAAACCTTGTTGCATTACATAGTCTGGGGACTCTGCAGGGTGAACCTTTGCATGTTATTGCCTAGGTGACATCTGTGGCAAGGACTGTCTTTACCAACTTTGGCTGGTTCACTGCCAGCACCCTTTTTCTCTAAGAAAAGGATGACTTAGCCACTGCCATAGATGCACTGGTGATCTCATGCTTTGATTATTCCAGTGCACTGCAGGTGAGGCTGCCTGCAAAGAGCATCAGAAAGTGTGGGTGGTTCAAAATGCAGCAAGTCAACAATTATCTGGAATAAGTTCAAGAGTTAAAAGCTCATCAGCTATCAATTGCCAATTCTAAACAGCCTAGGCACAGGCTACCTCAAGAAGAATCAACAGTGGTACCTCAGGTTAAGTACTTAATTCGTTCCGGAGGTCTGTTCTTAAGCTGAAACTGTTCTTAACCTGAAGCACCACTTTAGCTAATGGGGCCTCCTGCTGCTGCTGCCACGCCGCTGGAGCACGATTTCTGTTCTTATCCTGAAGCAAAGTTCTTAACCCGAGGTACTATTTCTGGGTTAGTGGAGTCTGTAACCTGAAGCATATGTAACTTGAAGCGTATGTAACCCGAGGTACCACTGTACTCCCAAATGACTCTCTTAGGAGACCCTGCTCTGATCAACACGGCAAGCAGGACTTGAAAGTTACAAATAACAGTTTTTCAGTAGGGACAGCCATCCATGGAAACTCTTTTCATCAAGCTTTCTCACTGTTCACTTTCAGGTGCATGATGAAAACCTAACAGTTTTAACAAGCGAAAGAACTGTTTTGATGTTTCTATATTGTTTTAAGCCGTAGTTGCATTACATAGCCTCTCAATCAGAGGTTCACAAATTGTATTATTAATTTTATGAGCATCATATATTAAAAGAAACAACTTTCATGTTGACAGAAGGTTTTGAGATTAGATTTATGGTTCTCTTAGTTTTTGATATTTTAATGTAGTGTATTTTTTTGTCATTGGTTCATGTGCTTGCCTCTTATGTGGATATTGCCATGTTCTTAAGACATGGGGAAATGTGCATTCAAGCCTTTTAAAAAAAATCAAATACTTCGGTGGTGTGAAAAAATGTGACAAGTTTCATGGGTCAAATTTTGACATAAAAGCAGCAGCAAGACTTCAACTCGCTTAGTTTAGTTACTTTGGAAAATTAATGAACTATGACCAAAGTTCAAAAACAGGGCTCAACAAAACTATTTTCAATGAACTGTTAAAACTCTTCTCAATGACCTGTTGAAAGTGGTAATAAAAACCCCTCAGTATTAATTTTTTGCTGTTGTTAAAAAACTCTCTCCTCTGTCAGCAGCCCTCCTGTAGACAGAACAGCACACCTACGGAGACGTTTATGGGAGGAACTGGACTGACCTCTCAGTGAACTGATAAAAGTTATTATTATTGCTATATATTTAGTTACCCCATGCCTTTACCCCCTCCAACAATTAAACATAGAAGTTACACAATATATAAAGATATATATGTATATGTATATGTATCTATTTAAATCCATACAGATAATTACAATAAAAACCAGCATGCCACCAGCCCGTTCATAGAAAGCAGTCAGTTCCTAAAAGCCTATTGGAACAAGAAAATTGTGCGTGTTTCTTACATTTCAAGTAAATAAGAACTACGCCTTATAGCCTGATTCCTTAGTCACTTTACGGTGGCCTCAGAGCACATGATATGATCCTGTCTCCCACCACTGGTGGTACATCAGGAGCATAAAAATCAATATCCTAATCCAGAGTGGTCCAACAAGCAGTACATGGGCCACATTCGGCCCTCAAGGCCTTTTTGGTGGCCCTTGCGAAGTACCAAAGCTGAAAGCAAAGCTGGAAACGACAACATGAAAGCCTTGCCCTGGTTTGCCCTGTGGTCTCAAACACCACAGACCACCTGCCCCAGCTGCAGCTGAGAATCCTCCTCAGAGCTAGGATGAGGAGAGAGAAAGAGGGGTGAAGGAGGGGAAAAAGAAAGGAGCTAGAGGCAGTTTCTCCAGCCAAACTAGCAATGTCTTCCCCGTAGGAGTTGTTGTTGTTGTTTAGTCATTTAGTCGTATCCAACTCTTCGTGACCCCATGGAACAGAGAACGCCAGGCACTCCTGTCTTCCACTGCCTCCCACAGTTTGGTCAAACTCATGCTGGTAGCTTCGAGAACACTGTCCAACCATCTTGTCCTCTGTCGTCCCCTTCTCCTTGTGCCCTCCATCTTTCCCAGCATCAGGGTCTTTTCCAGGGAGTCTTCTCTTCTCATGAGGTGGCCAAAGTATTGGAGCCTCAGCTTCAAGATTTGTCCTGAGCACTCAGGGCTGATTTCCTTCAGAATGGATAGGTTTGATCTTCTTGCAGTCCATGGGACTCTCAAGAGTCTCCTCCAGCACCATAATTCAAAAGCATCAGTTCTTCGGCGATCAGCCTTCTTTATGGTCCAGCTCTCACTTCCATACATCACTAAGTAGGAGATGTAGGAGTAGGGGTGGGCATTTGGAGAGGAACCCTGACTTGGCCTAGAGAGATTGAGGACAGGGGCTTTGGTGGGTCTTGCATATTTTGGTGGTGGTGGCAGTGCTGGAAGCGGGAGTCGCAAAGGAGGAGAGAAGGGGTGAAAGGAGAAAAAAGTGAAAAAAGCAGAGCAGGACTTTGCCCAGCAGCTGCACAGGCAGCAGGTTGCTTGTTTGGATGCTCTTTTCCTCTCTAATCGCCCTGCCCGCAGTTCCACCTAGAGCCAATAAGAACTCCCTTGCCGCTTCTTCCTGGATAGCTCAGTTGGTTAGAATGTGGTGCTGATAACACAAAAGTTGCAGGTTCAATCCCCATAACAGACAACGGCATATTCCTGCATTGCAGGGGGGCGGATTACATGATTCTCAGGGTCCCTTCCAACTCTACGAGTCTATTATTCTCTCCCCTCTCTTTCCTGCCCAGAGTCCTGCCTGCATCCCGCAAGTCCCCTCACACACCCAGTGGCCTTCTTGTTTTTGGATCTTTGGGGTCACCTTTTCTTTAAAAAAAGAGAACAACTCTGATCTGTTTAATAAATAAATATATTAAATCTATTACAGGTTGGTTACAGTGGTACCTCAGGTTACAGACGCTTCAGGTTACAGACTCCACTAACCCAGAAATAGTGCTTCAGGTTAAGAACTTTGCTTCAGAATGAGAACAGAAATCGTGCTCTGGCGGTGCAGCGGCAGCAGGAGGCCCATTAGCTAAAGTGGTGCTTCAGGTTAAGAACAGTTTCAGGTTAAGTACGGACCTCCGGAACGAATTAAGTACTTAACCTGAGGTACCACTGTAGTTGTGCATTTAATTATATATATTTAATTAACTATATTAATTGTGTATATTAAATAATGGGGAAATTTAATTCAGCATGTGGCCCCCGGGTTATGTGTTGAAGTACTCTTGCGGCCCACTTGGTCTGAGAGGTTGGACCGCCCTTTCCTAACCTAATTTCTCCCTCTGCTTCCGTGTGAGATGAGATGACTGATGAACAGTGGACTGTGCACAGGAGAACGGATGCTGCTATAGAAACAAGTATGATTGCATAAGAAGCATGCTTTTCACTGGAAGATCCAAGCACAGCATCTTCTTTAACATGCAAATCTGTTTTCCATATGGTGCCACCCGCACCCACCTTGAGTTAGATTTTGTTGGATGCAACTACACTAGACGCCTCAAATGAGAATGTATAATCTCATTCTCATCAGCTAAATCTTTCAAGATCAATGAGCATCAAAATGCCATCAGAATGCGCATCTGCATTACCTGAGCACACAAATCTCTCTTGCTAGAGTACGCGAGGATCCTGAGCAGCAACAAATTAAATGATTGTAACTGATAGCAACCTGAAAGTTATCAATAATCTAGTAAAAACAAGTATCCAGCTCCAGCATCAGAACAGAATGTTAGATTAGGCTGAAATGAGTTATAGTTATGTGTGGGAGGAGCAACCTGAAAAAAAGCACTGGCTGGATCCAAATGTTTTCCATCTATTTATTCATATTTATTTTATTATAGCCAAAGGTTTTCAATTTGCATGAGGAAAATCACTGACATTTTCTTATAACTGCTCTAATCTGTCAGTTAAACAATTTAAAAGCTTTTTTAAAAAAATTAACAACTCTTTTGGAACACAAAAAGTATTTATACAGGAATGCCTGTCAATAATTTAATTCAATATTTCTGAGCTATAGGCATATGGCTTTAAATTGGGGGGTAGGTGGGGGAATTTCCATATCATATTCATTATTGATATACTATACAACAGATAATACCCCCTGAAATTGTCTTTGTTTATTAACAAGCCCTTGTAATTAACTTGCTTTTAAATCATAAGTATGATACTATTTTAATTTCCCTCACATCCCCAACCCTATCATTTGAAATCACATTAAGCTGACTCTTAGCAGGCCACCTGGTGTAATTCTATGACACTGAAGTGAGCTGTGCTGGTATGCAGGAAACAGTGACAGTCATCAGTGCTGAAATCCATTTCTCTAACTGATGACAGAAGTGGGGAAATTAATTTTTGCTATTCATAAATACCTGACAGGTTTAATGTAAATGTTTTGAAAAAGACTTCAGCATATGCTGCACATATATTATATATGCAGCAGCGCGCTGCAATATTGTATTTTCAACCCATTCAATTTCTAGATCACTACTGCTCAAAACGGCTGAAATTTTTCAAATTACTCACACATTGCAATTTTCTCCATATACATATAAATAACAACACAAGTCCCCGTGAAACCTTTCAGTCACTTGAAAAATAGTTTGACACTTAGGACAATTTCCTTGATATAAATGCTATGGGGAAACAGGTAGAATAATGCGCTGGATAAATCCGTGAGCATACTTCCTGAGTGTATAAGATCAGAGACCAACATGGAACCACTGTCATAAGGATTTTTCATTTTCATTTTGCTCATTTCCACCATCAATATACCGCTTAATTAGAACAGTCTCTAAGAAGTGTGCATGTAACTGAAAGGAACTGAAAATAATGATCAGTTAAAACTATAAAACCAGAATTCAGTTAAAATGCCCATTGGAATAAAAGTATTCAGTGGATGTCTAAAGTTTAATAGGGAGATGGTCTGTCTGACCTCACCAGGAAGGGAGTTCCATAAAATTGGCTCCTGCTGGATATGAACCATGGTACGCCACTAACAGTGATTCTTATGAAGTCCTCAGTGGCCAAGCAGTCCTTGAGGTATTCTGGACCCCAATTGCTAAGAACCTTGAGTCTGGCCAAGTAGTATACAGGTAGCGAGTGCAAGCTTTGACCATTGGAGTTTCAAGCTACTGCCAGCCTAAATCAATTACATCCAGAATTAAGTCGAGAAATAAGAAACAATAGCTTCGAGGGCATTTGCTCGGTAATCTACCTTGTTTCCTTCCTTAACAGAGCTCTTTGACTAAATTGAAACTTAAACAAATAGTTCTGCAATATAACTTGTAATACCATGAACTTGCATTTGCATGATCCCACTTTTGAGAATATTCCAATTTTGGCACACTAATTTATTCTTCTTCTTCAAGCAAGACAAAATTATGGGGGGGGGGAGTCCTTCGAACTCAGAAAAAGCAAGGAGTAAAAAGAGGACATCTAAGACAAGAGATACTTGGATGTAAAAACACCTTTCATTAAGAGGTATGGCTGGAATGAAGTTATTACAAATGGCGGGTGCAATGTTTGCAGTAAAATTGGTATTTGGACATTGATACACATCTATAAATGGGTTTTTGAAACTCTTTATTCCAACTTGCTGACTCTTAAAGATGTAATGGTGCTGCTGACTAAAATTGCACTGGCACTGCTTTAAAGCATTTTAGCTAGTTTTAATGGTATGATGCAGGTAGGGCCAGCCCAAGACGTTTTGGCACCCGAGGCAAACCACAAAATGGCACTCACCCCACCTCCGCCAGGGAAGAAGAGGTGAGTGAAGATCTACATCAGGAGCAAGAGTGGAACAAAGATGTACATTGGACAAAAGGGTGGGAGAAAAGGCTGCATTGGAAGGAGGGCAGATCCATCCTCCAACGAGTGTGCCATGGGAGCAGTGAGTGATGCATTCCTGGGAGACAGAATCTGCCGTGCCTGCGGATCCTGCCACCTGAGGGGATCACTTCACCTTGCCTCATGGGTCAGCTAGCCATGGATGCAGGTCCATGGAAATATTTTGTGATTTTTCTTATTATGTTACATTAATATTTTGACCTTCCAGTAAACTTTGGATTGTATGGGCACAATTAAACCAATGAGTCCCACCAGCAGAAGGCTGAAGTTAAGATTGCTGTTGATGGTAATCTGCATAACTGGATTAACTAAAACTTGTATCACTTGTTGCTGCTGTTTAGTCGTTTAGTCGTGTCCGACTCTTCGTGACCCCATGGACCAAAGCACGCCAGGCACTCCTGTCTTCCACTGCCTCCCGCAGTTTGGTCAAACTCATGCTGGGTAGCTTCGAGAACGCTGTCCAACCATCTCGTTCTCTATCATCCCCTTCTCCTTGTGCCCTCCATCTTTCCCAACATCAGGGTCTTTTCCAGGGAGTCTTCTCTTCTCATGAGGTGGCCAAAGTATTGGAGACTCAGCTTCAGGATCTGTCCTTCCAGTGAGCACTCAGAGCTGATTTCCTTCAGAATGGATAGGTTTGATCTTCTTTGAATCACTTAGAATGCTTATTTATTTAAAAAGTTCAGAAAATTCTGTTGCACTATTCTGCAACTGGTTGACATGGCACAGTAAAAATATAATGGAAGATACTGAAATAAACATAGGAAAGACAAGTTCTATGGTGCAAAACAGCATGGAACACCACAAATTATGCAGCATTTAAAGTAAAATGATTTCATATATGGCTGCTGCATTACATTTTTCTCACCATAAACTGCATTTATGGTTTTATACACAGTTATGAATAAAACTTTGTCCTTTCAACCATGACACATTCAAAGACATTTCCCCACTCATATTTGTCACCAGCATGCACGCTTGCTTGATACATTTCATCTGGATACGTCATGCCCAACTAAGCTCCATCCATCAAATATATACCGCCTAATCAGACAGTTAAGGACACTTGCACTCCAACAGGTACCACATATCACTTACTTTGGCATACTGCAGATTATTATGAGTGAACAAGTCTTTCAAATCTTCTTTGAGGTCTGGGAGGGGGGCATATTTGGAAAGATGTGCTTTAACATGCTGAATTTTCAGTGTCAGTGGTGTCCTTCCTATAAATGCTGTTCTTTAAATCCTATGTGATTTTTTCCAGTTCTTACCCAAGCAGTATTTATAGCAGTCCCCTTTGAAAGTATTATACCCTTGAAAAAAAATCTGATATGGTGTAAGAGTTTCTTCAAGGTGCATTAAAATTTACCAAGGACTCAGATTTACATTCAGACATTATTAACGAAAGAATGGTGAAATATGACAAAAAATAAAATAAAATAGAAAAATAAGGTTATCAGAAAAACAAACTTTTAATTAAATGTATGTAGGAAATTAATCCCAGCTATGTGCAATATATTAATCATGAGGTATCATATCTGAGGGCAGAGAAGACATTATAAGGAACATACAAGAACAGTAGTCATGCATCTCCTCAAAAGATTGTTCCTTTAAATCTAGTAAAAGATGTTGACATGACATCTTCATAACTAGTTTTCCCACCCCTTACACTTCCTTGCTGATTCCTCCTTGTTGTGTCATGCCTGATCCAGGTTTGAGAAAGGATTGTTCCTCCTATGATGAAGGTCCTGAAGATACAAAGCCTGAGGACTTTATGGGTCTCCTGACTCCAGAGCTATGCCAGACATCTCCAGCATCTCTGGAAAAGGAGCAGTAGGTCCAACTGTAGAAGAGGACCCCAAGGGACCTGTAGACAAAGTTCATGTGGCAGTTCTTTTGCTCAGGGAATCAGAGGGGGAAGCCAAACTACCTCCCAGTGCCAGGGAACACCAGTGTCAGAAGCTGAAGTTACAGGCAGTCATCTGTCAATGAAAGAACACCTTAAGGCCAAGAAAAAACAGCCTCTTCAGGACCTCCTCAGGAGCACAGAACACTGAAGGCCTGGCTACCAGTTGCAGCTGGGTACCCAAACTATAGAAGCTCCCACTTACAGGAACAACACAGTTGTTTATTTCTGTATGTACACCCCAGAGCTTCTTGTTCCTATCCTGACTGACCTTGTGCTAGTAAAGGTAAAGGGACCCGTGACCATTAGGTCCAGTTGTGGCCAACTCTGGGGTTGCAGCGCTCATCTCGCTTTACTGGCCGAGGGAGCCGGCGTACAGCTTCCGGATCATGTGGCCAGCATGACTAAGCCGCTTCTAGCGAACCAGAACAGCGCACGGAAACGCCGTTTACCTTCCCGCCGGAGCGGTACCTATTTATCTACCTGCACCTGACGTGCTTTCGAACTGCTAGGTCGGTAGGAGCAGAGGCTGAGCAACGGGAACTCACCCCGTCGCGGGGATTCGAACCGCCGACCTTCTGATTGGCAAGTCCTAGGCTCTGTGGTTTAACCCACAGCGCCACCCGCGTCCCCGACCTTGTGCTACTGACCCTTGTTTATAGCTTGTTCTTGAACCTACATTTGGGGTGCTCAGTCTTTGGCATTGGCCTTTTCCCACAACCCTACTGGCTGAATGCAGTATGTTTTCCATGCACTTTAAATACGGGGCTACAAAAGCTCCTGGGGACATGTTTCTTTATGATCCAATGTCCTTACCAAAAATATGTCTGCCTTCATTTTGTTTGCTTCAGTACAGTGCTCTGGAAATGATGTAATGCACTCACAGATTGTCTTCCTAGGGGCAATTGGAATCCCATTGTGAAAATATCGGCCTAAGAACAAATAATTATGATGGGATGTGGACGCTGAAGTTACTGAACATAAGAAAAATTCAGCAATTCAGTAGATAGTTCTCTAATAACAGAGTTAGAATATAGAAAAACCAAAATAAGGTTTCCAAATAGTAAATGCAAGAGATGAACAAACATGTACAGGATGCTGGATAGCTCAGTTGGTAGAGCATGAGACTCTTAATCTCAGGGTCATGGGTGTGAGCCCCACGCAGGGCAAAAGATTCCTGCATTGCAGGGGGGTGGACTAAATGGCCTTCGTGGTCCCTTCCAACTGTACGATTCTATGTGAACCAGGATTTCAACAGCTGGACTGAAATCCAATAAATCATAATGTCTTATATACGGCTGTATTCACTTTACTTGGTGTTCTTGATATTTGCTTTACAAAGCCTCCTGTAATAATTATATATTTATCTATCATTTTCTACCAAAGTGTTCAGATCAATTAGCTCCAACGTGAAGACTTTAGTGATGGGTGGGAGTGGGCTACTACAAAAACAGAAAAGAAATAGAGGTTCCTTTTTAAAATGGATCACTAAAACATGTTCAGCTTGGAATCATCAGTGTACTCACAACACATCACCCGAAATCTCCTAATGACTGCTCCCACCGGCTTCATATAGATGTTAAACAACATTGTGGACAAGATAGGACCCTGCAGCACTGCATAGTACAACTGTCAGGGCCTGAAAGGAAATCGCCCAATGCTATTTTCTGAAACCACACCCTGGGAAACCACTGTAAAACAGTGGTATCAAAAGCACCAAGAGATCAGAGTTAGAATAGTAGGCTTACACTGCCCCTGTCCTCCCAATAAATGTCATCCATCAAGGTGACAAAAGGTTTTGAAACTAAGGTTTCACAATGTAGGTACTGGCAAACTTCAGTGCTTCAAATTAATAAAAACTATTAGGAGGTTTAATACAAAGTAGCTCTATGTAAGAAAAACTATATTATTAGGCAATTAGTTCCTATGCTCTATAAATACAAAATTCAATAACTCCATGGTGCAGCACACAGCACCCAACAGCTTACAATAACAGCACACTATTAAGGAGATTTGTATGTTTAACCAAACAGCACCAATTTACCACTAGTATTTACTATGATGTACTATTTACATTATAAGGATTTTCATTTCCTGAACTCTTTCTCTAGAAGCACAAAATAATTCCATTAATTCCATTGCTACAACGGGAGCCTACACATTGATTCTGATTTAGTTTTACTCATGTGGAAAACATATTTACTACAACCCAGTTGCATCAGAATGAGAATCTGCATTTGGATGTGCATCCTCATGAAAAGCAAAGTGGTTCAGACAGGTGACATCGCATCTGTGCCTTCCTGTTCCCGATTTAGCCAATGACACAAGCCAGAAACCTGGTTCTGCCACAAGATCCTGAACCCAGACAACTGCTTATAAACCCAAACTACAATATGTTCACCTGACGTCTTAGCTCTCAGTTCTTAGCTATCTTAAGATGCAGTATATTGACGCCCCTTCTCTTACGCTGGGAAAATTCGTCAACATTGCTTGGGTGTAGGGGAAAAAATTGAGCATTTGGTTTATAAACGTTTTATTATTGCTTTCTTTGTTATATTCTGCATGTAAGAGAGGCTCTGCCTTAGCCCTGTTCATCTGCTTTGCCTCAGTTTTCAACAGAAGCTTTCTAAAAAGGACTGTGGAGAGAAAGACTCTGGTTTCTAGCAGACAGAGGGCGAGGGACCTATCTCATTTAGTCCTAAGGAAGGCAAGGGTAATTCTTTAACATTCTGAAAATGGGGGCGGGGGGCGGGTATGGTATGAAAGATGGCTCCAGGTCTGAGTTGGGGGAGAAGGAGAGGCAACCTAAGTGGGAGGTGGACTGCCAAACCTAGTTTGCTGGGTTTGGGAGAAATCCCTTTAAATGTCAGATACTTTGTTACCAACATGCTTACTGGTGTTTACACAATATTTTATTTGGTGTATTGCTGCTACTGTAAGCTACTTCAAACACGGTATCATCAGAATTGCTTTCTAAGAAGAATAGTTCAGCATAGTTGTCTGCTCTACATTTTCTGCAGTGAAGACAAATGCAAAGAACTTGTTGAGCTTCTCTGAAATATCTTTTTCCTCCTTTAGCATACTTTTGACTCCTCGGCCATCCAAAGCTCCAACAGCATCCTTAACTGATGTCCTGTTTATAATGTATTTAAATAACTTTTTAATTGTCAGTCTTAATGCTTTTAGTGGTGTACTCCTCAATATGTATGTGTGCGTTTATGGGCACATCCATTATTTGTCCGCTTGCATTTTCTTACCAAACTCTGTGTCTCTTTCTGTTCTCATTGAGACAAGACTTCCGTTTTTTGAATAAAGCCTTCTTGCCTCTAACACCTTCATTGCCTCTGCTTGTTAACCATGCTTGGATCCTCTTGGCTTTGTGGTACCTTTCCTGCTGTGCAATATACATTCTTGCTGAGATCTACATCTTGCACCATCAATTAAGATTAAGTCCATGGTTTGCCTCTCCTCTGGTTGGTTCTCTGGTTGGTTCCATGATCAACTCTTCTAGAAACTTTACCTCTTTGTGACTGGAATGTGCACTTAAGCAGCCTGTTTCAGGGTAACTGAAGTCACTCATTACATCTACTCCTTTAGATGCCCCACTGGAGGTTGAAAATGCACCTGCACCCAAAATACAGCAACTTTTGTTCACTAAAATAGGATTCGTTTTATTTTATTGTTTTTTTCTATTATTGTTGTAGTTTGTTTGTTGTTGTTAATTAAATTTGCATACTGCCCTTCACAGGGCGACTCACAACATAAAAATACAAGATGAGCAAACAAACTATATAATAAAACAAAAGCCAAACAAACCAATAACCCTGCTCCCACAGATACACTTTAAAGGCGATAGAATGTTTATCAGTCAAATGCCTGATTGAAGAGAAACATTTTCACCTGGTGCCTAAAAATATGTAATGAAGATGCCAGACGAGCCTCCCTTGGGAAAGCATTCCACAAATGGGGAGACACTGCAGAAAAAGGCCGTTCCTGTGTTGCCACCCTCCAGACCTCTTGTGGGCATCCGCAGAAGGGCCTCAGATGACGATTGCAAGCAAAAATGGTCCTTGAGGTATCAGTCCTGAGTCATTTAAGGCTTTGTAGGTCAAAAAGGGGGACGCGGGTGGCGCTGTGGGTTAAACCACAGAGCCTAGGGCTTGCTGATCAGAAGGTTGGTGGTTCAAATCCCCAAGACGGGTTGAGCTCCCGTTACTCGGTCCCTGCTCCTGCCAACCTAGTAGTTCAAAAGCACGTCAAAGTGCAAGTAGATAAATAGGTACCACTCCGGCGGGAAGGTAAACAGTGTTTCCGTGCGCTGATCTGGTTCACCAGAAGTGGTTTAGTCATGCTGGCCACATGACCCAGAAGCTGTACACCAGCTCCCTCGGCCCATAAAGCGAGATGAGCGCCACAACCCCAGAGTCGGCCACAACTGGACCTAATGGTCAGGGGTCCCTTTACCTTTACTTTGGGTCAAAAAGAGCACTTTGAATTGGGCTCAGAAACTAAATGGCAGCCAGTTAGTCTTCTATTATATTCCTGGGTCATGATAGGTTTCATATCTTTATCAGAGTGTGGCATGTATTCTCAAATACAGACATGCACCCACTCAACAGAATATTACTGTTTATGCAACCTGGCTTCAATC